ACACACACACACACACACATATTTGTACTTTAGGACAGGGTCTACAGGGTGTTCAGGGTCTCACTACTAGATTGGACTCATAGTGATCTGCCTGTTTACAGCCTCCCAAGAGCTGGGATTACAGGCGTGCGCCATCATGCCCAGTCTCAATCCAAGTCTCAGCCCACCCTGGGGCGGGGCCGGCACAGCAAGCCCAGGGATAGAACTTGCTTGCAGATGCTTAATCCACTGAGCTATTTGGCCAGCCCTTGAGAACAAATATTAAACTCTCCTGGATAAGCAGGGACATAGGGACTGGTATTCTGAGGAACATTATCTGAGAAAGAATAACTTAGATTCTGGGAGGACGGGATCCTTGCTGGGTAACAGAATTACAGCATTTTTTTCTGTATCTGTAGAGACATAGTATTCAACTCAAAGCGGGAAGAAATGGCAGACTGATGATCTGTGATTTTTGTTGATGAATATATTTTATTTGGCCTCTATCATTGTTCTTTTAAAAATGGAAATTTTCATGTAAAACTCTGGATTTCTGGCTTCTGTTGAAAATATTCCAAAAATGTTAGCACTAACTCAGGCCCGAAAATGCTAGATAAGTATCGGGGCTATAAGTTTCAAATGAAATTGTCTCTCTGAAAGTGCTGTATTTCTGTTTTCTAATTTAAAATAGTTACTAAGGGCCAGCGAGATAGCTCAGTGGTCTAAAGCACCTGCTGGGGGAATCTTAGGCAAGCACAGGGACCGTGGTTCGATCCCCTGCAGCACATGCTGTGCCAGCCCACCCCCAAGGTAGGCTGAACCAGGCACAAAAAATAAAATAAAATAGTTATTAAATGTTTGATAAATTTAAAGCAGTATGCAAGTTATTAATAAAAGAATAAATAATAACAAACAATTATTTATGTACAGAGTATAGGAGTTGGGTTAATACACAAGAAACTAAATATAAAGTGAAAGGGAAGAAATAGTTGCCAAATTTAGAAAAAAATATAGGCTGCCCAGTTAAACTGAATCTCATATAAATGTCAAACAGATAATTTTTGTATGAAAATGCCCCATTATTGCACAGTGCTTATATTTTTTTTTAAAACTTTATTTTATTTATTTATTTGTGTGTGTGTGTGTGTGTGTGTGGCCAGCTCAGCCCACCAGGGGGCGGGGTTGGCTGGCATGTGGTGCTGGGGGATTGAACCGTGGTCCCTGTGCTTTGCTAAGCTTGTTCTAAGTAGGTGCTTTAGACCACTGAGCCATCTCTCCAGCCCCGAGTGCTTATATTTTACATGGCACTAAATTTAACTTTAATTCAGTTGCTAAAGAAAAGCAGCACTATGATCGTTCTGTAGATGGAGGACACTGGGGTAAGCTTTCGGGAAGTGGTGGCGTCTGCTCCAGAATCTAGATTCTGATGAGCTCTGTATGATAGGCCATGCCATTTTCTGTTAAGTGTCATAACATTGTACCCCTGAACTTTGCACTGAATCAAAACATCCATTCACCAGCTACCACTTAGAACGCTGAAAAGATTTTTGGTCTTCATGACTTCTTGTCATAGATTATTACAAAACTGAAAATGATGTGCACAATTATCAAATATTTTTAAGTCTTACAGGGCAAGGTATTGTACTGTACATAATATTTTTTGAAGAAAAGCAAGTAAGAAATCCCTCTTCTTCACTGTAAGATACAATTTCTTACCTCTGACGTCATCCATATGTCAGAACCATCATTGTCATCCCGTGTGTCAGGCATGAAAGGAATCAGAGACACAAATCTAGCAATTAGGTCCTACAATAACATTAACATTCACTGAGTATATGCGGTATATTTATCATTCAGCAGCATTTTACAATCATTATTTTATCTAGCATAGATTAAAAGACTATAAGGTAGACTCTATTCTACTAGTTTTCAGAAGCAGCAGCAAGCCTGGAGCAATAACACAGCTTGCCCATGGTCCCATGGCTAACATAAGACATGGAGTCCAACAGGGCTGAGCCCACAGCTAGCTTTGCTCCTGAGCTCCAGAGGGTGTGTAGTAAGCATATATTTTCTATAATAAATGAAAACATTTAATTTAAATACTTAAATTAAATATTAATGACTTAAAATATTTCAATTACAGTTTAATTTGTGTATCTTATTTAAATATATTTAAATATTGTAACTGTTTATCAACATTAAACAGTACTTTAAAGTATGGCTGCTACAAAAAATTCAAATATGTTGAAGAATAACAAAGGGTTGATTTGCTTTTAGGTTCAAAAACTGCCAATTCTTTCTGTTAACTTAAGCTGGTAACTAGCTGCTGCATTTACAGATAGTGGTACATCCTGCTTTCTCAAGCAATGGAACTTCCAGTTCCATTAAAATTTCTACTGAAGTACTGGGGGCAAGGACGGAGACTAAGGTGAGAAAGGAAAAAGGGACACAAATAAACAATAACGTTAGCATTGACGTTGATTAACAGTTTAATTAATGTACAATAGCTGCCATTTCTGGATTCTTTCTTTTTGGAGACAAGCTTTCACTACATAGTCCAGGATGACCTTGAGCTGTACACACCTAGGTGACCTCAAACTCATGGTGACCTTCCTGCTACGTGCTGGGATTACAGGTGTGCGCCACTATGCCTGGCTTTCATGCTATTTTACGCTGGTGACTTCTGGTAATTAATATATTTGGTTCACAATCCTTGACAAACATGGAGCTAGGATTTGTTTATTATTTTAAAGATATCCTTTGAAATAAATCCGAGAACATCGTCTCCCGGGACACTGAGGTCAGAACACGGAGGCAAGAAGATAGCGATATGCACTATAATGGCCATTGTTAATCTCCTATAAAAAAAAAAGACGACACTCACAATTGAAAAGCAGAGTGTGGAGAAAGCAACACAAATTAGGGCTTTTGATTTAACCTTAAAGAGTCTAGAGAAGGGAGCTTTTTTGTGTGTGTAGAACCAGGGATTGAACTCAGGACCTTGAGCTTGCCAGGGAAGTGCTTATTCCACTGAGCCATCTCCCCGGCCCCTTAAAGATTGAGTTTGGCCTATAGATGATTCTTTTTTCTTTTTTTTGTGGAACTGGGTATTGAACTCAGGCAAGCGCTTATTCTACTGAGTTATCTCCCCGGCCACTAAGGGAGCTCTTTAACTCACAAATAGTATAAATTGCCCAAGGACAGCCAACTGAATAGATTGAATCTACATAAATGAAAGGTATAGTGATTCTTTATAGATGACCACCAGCCACAATGAACCTGTTAAAAATAACTGTAACTTACAAGTGTTGCATTAGAATCATGAAGGAATATATCTAGAAGTTGCTGAGGTGGATTGAGCGCCTTGATATATCTTGTTACTAAGGTCTGGATCCCTTCATCATTAAAAACTGTAGTTATGATTCTTCGGTTGGGAAACATTGTTTTACAATTACTCTTAAAAATCTGTGCTCTCTGCAAAACATCTACTTGATCTGAAAACTAAAACCAAATTTAAATTATTTCAATATTGTGCCATATTATTCCCACAGGAAAAGACCAAGAATCAGTGTCTCTTTTTGCCAGATGTAAAATTATTATGACTGATTCTTAAAATAGTTTAGACCCCTTCGATGATATATCTGAAAGTAATTCAGTGTAAAACCTACCTTGTCTAGTTTTGAATGATAGGTAACATATGATATCTGTGGCTCAATGGTAGCAAAAATACTTATGAAGGTACATTCTCTTAAGCTCTGTCCGTTGTAATCTTCTTTAGGAGATAAGTAAGTCTTACTCCAAGTATAGCCAAGCAAAACTGGTGGAATATTTACTTGAAATGTTCCACTAATCTGAAAGAATGTATCATGCATGAGGGGAAGGAGGAGGTAAATTATAGCAATAACCAGTACGAACAAGTAATGGTGTACTTACTATGGGCTAGGCAAGTGCTCAGACAATTTAATGAAATAAACCCTGCTTTTACCTCTATTTTATAGATAAGAACATTGTGGCTCAGAGAGTTCAAGGAATTTGTGCAAGATCAAGGAACAAGTGAGTAGGGGAGCTAAGATTATAATCCTGTTCATCTGCCTTTGAAGCGCAGTCTTTTTTTTTTTTTTTTCTTTCAGAACCAGGGATTGAACTCAGGCCCTTGTGCTTGCCAGGCAAGCGCTTATTCTACTAAGCCATCTCCCTGGCCCCTGAAGCCCAGTCTTAACCACCTCTGTACAAGCAGAGCTGAGGTTGAGCACTGACAAGTATGGGAAGCAGGCTACCCCCAGCAATGTGGATGCCTCAGGCTCTTTATATGCGCTGTGGTCCATCTTGACTTCATGTTGCTGCAGGTACTCAGGCTCTTCTGCTTTTCTTTCCCACCTAATATCCATTCTTTCCTCCTTTATCGGCAGATTTGGTTGACAACATGACAGCTGGATAGTGGTCATGTCACATTAGTAAGATGCAAGAAGTCTGTTGCAGGATTTTCTTTTTTCTATTATTGTTTCTTTCTCTTGAAAAACTTTTTAATTCATTTTAATGAGAAAACAGATAAAATAGCAATGAAACAGGTTAGGAGGACAGTTAGAATAATTAATACATTGCATATTGTTGTCTTCATAGTAGTTATTCAGAGGACATCTTTCTTTTTTTCTTTTTTTTTGTTTTTGGGATGGGAGTAAACCCAGGGCCTTGCATTGAGCTCCATGTCCAACACTGTCCATCTTTTATTTTGAAAATACTGTTTAGTCTTGTTAAATTGCCCAAGCTGGTCTTGAACTTGGAATCCTATTCAGCTTCCCGAGTAGCTGGGATTGTAGGTGTGTGCAGCCGTACCCAGTAGTCTGTTGGAGTTGTCTCAGAACGGCTTACCTTTCTGAGCTGAGCGCTGCCAGGTTTCGCTTATCCCCCTACAACACAGGTAGGAGGCTGGAGTCGCCATGCACGGTTCATGAGCCGTGGGATACAAAGATGAAGTCAGCTTCGGTTGCTGATTACGCCCTTGAGCTGCTGCTCTGACTCTGAGCTCTTAGATTAGCTAGAACTTGGATCTGCACCGGCCACAGCCAGGTAAGCTTTCTCTTGCATATGCCCTAGCGCCCATGATCCCCTCTCACTCATATGCCCTCGTCTGAGAAATTTATCTGTAAGGGTTTGATGTGAAAGTTGTCTCCTCAGTAAAGTCGTCCCTGCCCTGC